CCATATCATCTGGTAAAAGTGAACTGATGTTTGAGGGGAACATGTCACCTCCATCTTCAGGGTTTAATCAAATGCTAAGCAGGAAACCAGCATGAAGCAGGCAGGAAGCAGTGCTCTGTTTACTGCCTGTTTCCTACTGGTTTCTTGCTTGGTTTACTCTTAGTCCCTGAAGATGGAGGTGATATGTTCCTCCAAAATGTCAGATGACTTTTATAGGACTACGCAGAAATATATCCCAGAAGACTGAACTCTCCGTATCCTTTTATATTTTGTAATCTTTTTTTTCAGAGGGTGGTGAAGTTACTTAAATTTTACCGAAATCATGTATTTTGTTTTCTTCTTATTTGACAGCATACACATATGCATGTTCACACACACACACCTACATGTGCACACATGTGTACACACACTTAACTTTGTTTTAGATACAAACTGAAGAATATTGAAATAATCCTTTTATTTGGTTCAGACAATTTGAACCAAAGGAATGGAAGAACTCCTACTTTGTGTTTGGTTTACAGACCAACAATTTACAAGTTAGACAACTGAGGGAGAATTCTTTATTATTGGTATTTTAGTAAAATAACTATGGTATATCTCTGCATGTTTTTGTTCCCACTGTTTTTACATTACCACCAAAATAGAAAGCAAATTTATCAGTAGTCTCTTGACTGGCTCACCCATGCCCTTAAAATAAAGTGTCATCTGGAAAATTATTTGTGACATCAAAAGATGTACTCAGGTTTACACCTCTCTTTAAGCAGATGTAGATGCACAGATGTTGGATGTGATTAAACATGAGAGTAATTTCTTGCATGTCATTGGATTATGTCCCCTGTGTCCTCAAATTGCCAAAATTTCTAAAAAATTATCATGCTTAACTTTATCATGTACTTTTACAACTGTTGAAGTACAACTGTTTGTTGACATTTATAAGTTGTTTATGTTTTATATGCTATCATGTAAAACTCAGAAGGAAGTAAAAGCTAAATATTTGTCATACATGTATCTATCTTACTTCTTATAAAATTATATCACTGCATTTATTTTATAGTATTTTTATAGTGTCAGTGATTTTTTAATCCTTTTTCTTCATACATAATTTCAGAAGGGTCAAAGTACATTTTATCGCTGATATTTTTAAAAATACTTATTTGGCATAGTCATATTATTTTTAAAAAATTATCACTGAATTTTTTTGAAAAGCGGCTGATAATATCACATAAAATTCTTGTATACCAAGTAGCCACATATACAAGGTGGTTCAAATATGACCGGGACTGATTTTTTTTTTAAACCAAAATTGCCAAGCACTTACTTGCACATGTCAGTCTTCAACGTACTCCCCTCCGGAGTCAACACATTTTTTCCAACGTTCTGGAAGCATCCTGATGCCCTTTTCAAAAAAGTTTTGTGGTTGGCGGCGTATCCACTCCCGAATATTCTGGATGACTGTGTCGTCCACAAACCGCATGCCTTGCAAGTCTGATTTGAGCCTTCCGAACAGGTAGAAATCACTTGGTGCCAAATCGGGACTGTACGATGGATGTGTCAGAAGGTTCCATTTCAATTTCCGGAGGGTTTCCATTGTTTTGGCTGTATGGGGGCGTGCATTGTCTTGAAGGAAGGCTACCCGCTTTCCACCTGTCTTCTGCTTGAACTGGATCTTTTCCTTCACGTCTGTTGCCAGGAGGTCTGAGTAATAAGCTGCATTGACTGTTCTGGCATCTGTTAGAAAGTCTACATGGATAACCCCCTGCCAGTCCCAGAAGAACGTTGTCATCACTTTTCCTGCCAAACAGCTCCTCCGCGCTCTCTTGGGTTTGGGAGAACTGGTATGCCGCCACTCCCGTGATGACTGCTGGGACTCGGGAATGAAGTAGTGTACCCACGTTTCATCGGTGGTCACTATAGACTTCAAAAATGCATCACCTTCGTCTTCAAACTGCTGTAGGAGACGACTGGCAACTTGCATGCGCACCATTTTGTTCACGTCCGTCAAAGTGCGTGGTACCCACCATGCATTCACCTTGCGATAGTGCAGGTGGTAATTCATGATGTCTTCTACACTACCAACACTGATGGACAGCATTGCTCCAAGTTCCTTTATAATGATGCACCTATTCTCATGAATAAGTGCGTCTGAACGATCAATGTTTGGCTTGGTGACGGATGTTCGCGGCCGACGATCATGCGGTTCATTCTCCACGCGCTCTCTGCCCTCTCTGAAGCACTTACACCACTCAAACACACGGGTTCATGAGAGACACTCTTCCCCATACTGTTGTTGGAGTCTGTGGTGAATTTCAGTGGACGGGACGTTTTCTCCAACGAGGAATTTGATCAGAATGCGTTGTTCCACGCTCCGCGGTACCTTCTGTTCACTGATCACTCTAGCAACTTCCAGACAGGACTGAACAGGTTCTAACCCTAACAGGAGGGAGGGTGGAGGTTCTGGCTTCACTCTCTCAAGGTCCCACAGCTGCTGCGCAGTGTGGCTTGTTTACAAAAAAATCAGTCCCGGTCATATTTGAACCACCTAGTACACTTATTTGTGTTATCTGTACAGTTGCATTTATGAATAATCATTAAAATCATATGATTGTATAATTTACATTAGTTATTTTTGGTTATTAACTAACTATGTATTGTTACTTTTATGGTACATTCTAAAATAACATTTTTTTGATTTAGTTGTTTACATTTAAATTGTTGTATCATAATTTAAATGAAGTTCACATATGGCATGTAATTTTCAGTGTCTATTTATTACATAATTCATCCTTATACAATTTTTTTATTAAAACCGTCACAACATAACTATATTAAGGTCAGTGCCTAGTTTGGCTCTGCTATATGTTTTGGCTATTAAAAGCCATCATCAGGCAAATGGCTAACATATATACACCACTGAACTGCAGTACTAATAAAATTTAATACAGTAATATTAATTATATTAAAATACTTGGCATAAACGTACAATAAATTAGATTATATAAAACAAAAGTTATAGTATAAAACAAGAATAAAATTCTTCGAGTGATGCTTTACATCATTGAGTCAGTCGTTGGTTTTTGTGATTTTGTTGTGTTCCCACAGATAAATTGTAGTATTCTGTATTGGTCTATCTATAATAAACTGTTTTGGAGGCTCATGATGTAGATGTAGTAATATTAATGTTAATCTGAAAATGATATGAAAGTTGATTATAACAAAATATTATTACTTTCATATAATTTTCAGATTAACATTAATATTACTACATCTACATCACGAGCCTCCAAAACAGTTTATTATATATACACAAAATATAGAATACTCCAATTTGTCCGTGGGAACACAACAAAATCACAAAAACCAACGACTGACTCGATGATGTAAAGCAGGCATGTCCAACTTCAAACAGGTTGTGATCGAATTTTTAGTGTCAAAACTGCCAGTGATCTACCACCTCCTCCTATTGTCGTACCTCGCTTTAAGCAAAAATATTGGTAAAAATAACACGACACTTGTTTGTTGTAAAAGCAACATGCATTGAAAGTACAGACCTACCTTGTTCATTAAGAACAGAAAAATAGGAATGACTAATACCTACTTTCCCTTCAAAATCTGAATATAATCATATTATATTACAAGTGAATTTTCAAGCTTTTCACGTATAATTCCCTTATAGGCCTATGAGATCGACCAAAAATTGTCCCGCGATCGACGTGTTGGACATGCCTGATGTAAAGCATCACTCGAAGAATTTTATTCTTGTTTTATATAATCTAATTTATTGTATGTTTATGCCAAGTATTTTAATATAATTAATATTATTGTATCCAATTTTATTAGTACTGCAGTTCAGTGGTGTATATATGTTAGCCATGTATTTGCCTGATGATGGCTTTTAATAGCCGAAGCATGTAGTAGAGCCAAACTAGGCACTGACCTTAATATAGTTGTGTTGTGATGGTTTTAATAAAGAAATTGTATATTGTAACACAGCAGGATGCATGAAGTGAAAATTATAATTCATCCTTGTTACTCATTTAAGACATCTTGGGATCATGGTTCCTTATGGGCATGAAGAGAAGCTCTGTTCTTAAATTATCATGCACTAACATCTTGACAGATTTTGAATGCTGTAATGTTTCTCTCTAACTCCTGCTTCAATTTCCTACTTGTACCTTCTTTATTGGTGTTGAGTAAATTTTCTGGATCAACAGTTTCTGCAAACCCCTTATCTTGTGAATAACAGCATCAAATAAAGTGTAGAAATTTACTATCCTTATAATTATTCAATAATATAGTAACTATGTTGGACTTTTAGTGAGAGCATCAATAATAATAATAATTAAAGTTGGATGTGATGATGTAATCTGTTACATAGAACAAATTGAATTGTAATATGTTGATTCATTTTCAGTCATGTGATGAGAATTGTGTGAAGAGGTAACATAGGATTTGAGGTTTTCACAGCGGTCACTATGAAGAAAGCAGTCTTCTGGGATTTGGCACCGTGTATATGTGATACGTTCCTCCGAAACGTTGGTTAACACCGCATATACATGGTGCCAAATCCCAGAAGACTGCTTTCTTCAGGTAATATAGGGTTTGCTGAATTTTAAAATTGTTTGAAATAATGTTAAACATCGCAGGCAGTTCATTCACTTGCACTATTGTGAAACCAGATGATTAAGCTCAGTTACCTGGAGAAATATCATCTTGAAGCCCGAAGTGTTCTTACCAATGCAGATAGCTACAAATATCAATATATGGGTTCATTGGTTTGTTTCAATTTGTACACAGCACATATGTAACTGAAGCATGCTAAAATGCTAATAGACTGCTTATTTCATTCTACTATACTGTAATTGATCGTACCCATATTTACATATTCAAAATCATGTTGCAAGACCAGTTGCAAATAAACAGTTGTACGAGTATAAGGGGTGGGCCTTCTTGGCCCTTGCACTGTGACCACAGTGATCTATTATGCCTCAAATAAACATTTACAAACAAAATTATTTTATTAATAATATTAATCCATGGCCTCAGTGATTCATTTGATTTAATTATTTGTATATGAAATTTCACCTGAAATAAGGGTGGAGTTATCTGAAAATGGAATCATTACAGTTCTTTTCACTTTCTGTTGAAAATCTTACTTGGAGACAAAGTTAACAATAAGAGTCAGAAAACTAGCTGTCTGGCAGAATACTACGTGTATATTACCTTCATTAGGGATTGCATATGTTCAGCATCAAGAACCAGACTGTCCATAAAATCAGTTTTGTTCACTGAAAATATAAATTATGTAACAAAATTACAAATTACCCCTTGTCTTTCAAAATACAGTGCATCTAATTATTTCTTAGCTAAATGAAGTAAATGTCAGTCCTGAATGTAATGTTAGTAACATGAAGAATTTAGAATGTGCCAAACATTGACAGTAGAATGAAAAGAACTTTCAGCAGAATTTTGTGGTTACTATTGCCTGTATGGGGAGAAGAGCTGCCATGTGTACATGACTAATTGGCATGATGTATAATCAGGGTTTAACAAAAATATCAGGTGAATCAGGGAAAAGATATTATTCCATTAATAAGTACAATGAATATCACGATTCTTACACAACTTACACCATAAATTATATTTAGAAACAAGAAAAATAATTTTTAAGAGAGCCTTTTATGCTCTGATCATTACTTCTTGTAATTATAAAAAAATCAATATTAATAATTTTTCTATTGCATCTAGTTATTTACTTATGAAATGCTGTATGACACAGTTCCTGCTTTCCATATAAGCTCTGAGTATATTTAATCTCACTCCGATTTTCCAACACCACAGATAGATAACTCATTCGACTAGGAATAATGAGGCCCACGGAATAATTTGAGAGACCACAACACAAGAGTGCTGATGAAAGTTCATCAGTCTGGTAAGGGTTGCAAGTATTCACGCCTTGATGCAGGAGGTATTTGTGGCAGCAAGTAGTTTTCTCTGTCTAAGAGTTCTGCTGTTTTGGTGCCCAAGTCCTGTAATGGCAATGCTCCCGGAGGTTTTGGTAGTGGCTCTGACTGGGGCATAAATGAGGATGATGAGGATGAGGATGGTGACGACGATGATGATGATGATGATGATGATGATGAAGATGAAGATGGTGATGATGATAATGTGCAATGTTGATTCATTTGTGGAGGAAATAATGACAGCGAGGGCGATAATGGCATTGATGTGATTGCAGGAGACTGTTCTGCTTCTTCCTGGGCCTTCTTCAAGCGAATGTAGATATCTGGAAACCGAATTCGGTCTCTTGGTTCTGTTTTCCAGCAGGAACGCATCAGATCCCAGATGACTTGAGGGCAATCCTCTGGAGGTATCAACATAATTCCTTGTAGGATAAGTTTCACCACCTGAAAGCAAAATATATTGTCACGTGTATGGGTGACTGAAGACGGGGTTCGGATTGGTAATTGGATTTATTAACCACCTACAGGTCGTAACTACAATTAATTATTATATTATTGCTGCTTTACACAGTTTACAATCACCCCGCACTAATATCTTCAGTCTATGTTGAATTGAATTGAATTGAATTTATTTACATTCTATAAATCCTAAGCAGGTTAGTACCTTTGGATACAGAACAAGTCAAAAGGTTACATACATAAGTACAGGCAATTTTAGCTTAAAAATTAATATAACTTAATTTTACATCATTCTCTATTTACATTGAAGTATTCATCTAAAGAGTAGAAGGAATGAGCATGTAGATAATTCTTTAACTCTGATTTAAACTTTTTAGTATCATTGCCCAAGTTTTTAATACTTTGTGGCAGATTGTTGAACACTTTTATGCCAGTAAAGTAGACTCCTTTTTGATATACTGATAAAGTTGATGAGGGTAGGTGGAAGTTATATTTTTGTCTAGTATTCATGTTATAGACATCAGAATTTAATTTGAATTTATCTTTGTTGTAAACAACAAATAAGAGAAGCGATAATATGTATTGCGATTGAAGAGGTAGAATTTTTAATTTCTTAAATAATTCTCTACATGAATCTCTACTTCTACATCCTGTAATGATTCTAATTATATTCTTTTGTATTTTAAAAATTATTACACTATGTGAAGAGTTCCCCCAAAATATTAATCCATAGTTCATAATAGAATGAAAGTAGGCATGGTAAACCATCTTCAATGTTTCCTGTGACATAAAAGGCTTAATTGATCTCATCGCATAGCAAGCTGCATTTAATTTAGGTATAATTTGTTCAATATGTATTTTCCAAGACAGTGTACTGTCTACATGTATTCCAAGGAATTTTGTATCAAGTACTTTACAGATTAATTTGTTGGCATAACTGATGTCCAGATCAATTTGGTGGTTGTTTTTAGTTGTGAATGATATGTAATGGGTTTTATCAAAATTTAATGAGAGTAAATTGGCTTCGAACCATCTGTTTAAGGCTTCAAATACAATATTTATGTCATTTTTAAAGTTTTCAAATTTAGAGTTCTTAAATATTATACTAGTGTCATCTGCATATAGAATTGGTTTAGATTTATTGTTGATGGTTTTAGATAGATCATTTATGTAGAGAAGAAAAAGTAAGGGACCTAAAATTGATCCTTGTGGAACACCGTGCTTTATAATTCCCCAGTTTGAAAATGCATTATGACTGGAGTTTTTATTATTTATTTCAACTCTTTGATACCTGTTTTTGAGGTATGATTTGATCCATTCATTAGCTTTGCCAGTTATTCCATAGAAATTTAATTTCGATAGTAAGATATCATGATTAACACAATCGAAAGCTTTTGCTAGATCACAGAAAATCCCTCCCACAATTAATCTGTCATTGAGAGCACTTAAAATATCGTTAGTTAGTTCATAGGTTGCTTTTTCTGTTGTTAGGTCTTTCCTAAATCCAAATTGCTCTTTGACTAATATGTTGTTAGAATTTAAGTGTTCAAGTAGTCTATTATACATAACTTTTTCAAAGACTTTTGAGAATGAAGTCAATATGGATATTGGTCTGTAATTAGAGATGCATTTTCTCTCTCCTTTTTTAAAAAGTGGTTTCATTACAGCGTATTTTAAGCGTTGAGGAAAAGTACCTGATGATAAAGATTTATTACATAGATGATTCAAGGGTGAACTGATGTGAACAGAGCTTGCTTTAAGTAATTTGGTAGAGATTTCATCATATCCATGTGAATTTTTGGGCTTAAGGGATTTAATAATGTTTTCAATTTCCTTCCTTGTTGAGAATTTGAGATTTATATTTGGAAATGAATTGTTAAAGGCACGTGACAGATAGTTTATTGGATTATTATTATTATTATTATTGTTGTTGTTATTATTATTATTATTGGAATATGTTTTCTCAGCTAATGAAAGGAAATATTCGCTAGTGCGCTAGTCTTCACGGATTTATAACACAGGGACTATAACAGTCTCACTGAACTACACATTCCAGTTATTATACACAAATAAAGTCTTAAAATCACACGTCAAGTCTTCACAGGTCGACTTCTAATTATTCTTCAACTACTAATTTCCTGTGGTTTTCTCCTACCGAGAACTGACTTGCTCGCCTGTTCGCGTCTTTCTGCCGCTATTACTACTCGTAACTGCCCTGAACAAGTTAAAGTCAATGTCACATTGCGACTGACGGTCGGTTAGTCTGTCTGTCTTGGTGTCGAGCCCCAGCTGGAGCTTATGACCAGAAGTTTCTTATGTGAAAGTTACTGTCCTGTCCATTCGGGCTCTTAGTATGAGTACGGGAAAACCTTACTTAGTTTTATATTTCCGTGATAGTCTGTATTGTTGAGTATTCAAATTTGACCTGACCATTATATTTTCAAATTAAAACTTCTGTAAATAACACATTCAAACAAACTTTTCTAGAAAACGTCCCTCTTTCAGAATACGTTTATCCCAGTGTTCTGAAAATTTTCCGTTGATACTGACATTACTCTGTCTGCCTTTTCACCTTGCCACTAGATCTGGATTTCTTGTCTCCTCGGTGTTCTTCTTGTGCAATGCAAAGAGATGGCTGTCACAGGATGACAAATAAGAATTATAAGGAAGTTGGGGGAGAATATCCCATCCAAATTGGTCATTCCATTCAGAGATTAACCATATAATGTCCTATGAAGAGAAAACCTACTTGCTGCTTCCTTTGATCTGGTATCGAAGAGTTTGCAGGACATAACAGTAACAATCTGCATCGGGCCGAGCCATAGCTCAAGCGGTTAGTCGCTGGCTTCCCGGGTCTGGTCAAGTGGGATTTGTGGTGGACAAAGTGGCGCTGGGGCAGGTTTTCTCCGAGTACTTCGGTTTCTCCTGCCAATCTTCATTCCACCAATTGCTCCACAATCACCCTCACCTCTCATCTGGGGCTGGTACAATAGGCCAGAAGTGGCCGCTGTACAAAGAACTTAGTCCCACTCCACAAGCAATAAAAAAGTCTGCATTAATTGCACCATCCTGTCCCAGAAAACCTTTAGCATCGACGATATAACTAATAAAGTTCCTACCAGTTCTCTGATGCTGATTCAGGAGGGATGAAATTTTAATTCGCATCATGTTTTGTTCTGGCGCCAAATGTTTGAACTGATTGTGCGCTGACTTTACGAGATTCGGCTTATAGAGTAAAATGTTAATGCTCGCTCACTCACTCATGGAGCTGAGCCCTTCTTGAGAAGCCGCCAATTGTGCAGCTACTCAAGAACTTCCCAGCATTCTATGGAACCCGAAGGTTCTATTACCGTGCTCACAAGATCCCTCAAGAAGTCCCTACCCTGAGCCAGATCAATCCAATCCTATCTCTCTCAGATCCATTTTAATATTGTCCACCCACTTACGCCTTGGTCTTACCAGTGGTCTCCTTCCCTCTGGTTTTCCCACAATATCTTATATGCATTTCTCCTCTCTGCGTGCTACATGCCCTGCCCACCTCATCCTCCTTGACTTGTTCATTCTAATTATACTTGGAGAAGAGTACAAATTATGAAATTCCTCATTATGCAGCTTTCTCCAACCTCCTGTCACTTCATCTCTCTTCGGTCCAAATATTCTCTTCCAGCACCCTGTTCTCAAACACCCAAAGTCTTATGTTCTTCCCTTAATGTCAGAGACCAAGTTTCACACCCATACAGAACCACAGGAAAAATTGTAGTTTTGTATATTCTAGTCTTTATGTTTTTGGACAGCAGACAAGAAGACAAAAGTTTCTGGACTGAACGGTAGCAAGCATTGCCCGAGTTCAGTCTCCTCTTAATTTCCTCCTGAATCAGGTTTTGATTTGTTATCGTTTTTTCCCAAATATGTGAACTGTGCCACATTTTCAAAACATCTCTTACCTATCTTTATGTCATGATTTCCAGTACCAATGTTTACATTCTGACGGAAATTAACGTACTGCTATTGCTTATGAGCTCATCAGCTGGCAAAATATCACGCGCTGCCTTCTCCGTGAGTTAATTCCGCTTGATTACTTTGCATCAATTGAATTCTTAACAGTTATACTGGCAAGAAAGATTCCCCATATTGAAGTCGGTCTTTCTCTCACCTTTCATAAGTGTAAATTTGATAATGTGTTTCTTTCTGCTGTACTAAAGGCGCATTCATATGCATTTTCCTTCCTCCTAATATGCAATAATCTAACATCCTTATATCTGCTGTTTCTCACAGCGTATGTTACCTGAAAACTTACACGCCGTATTGGCAAACTGTCAATTTTACGATTTGAAAGAGAATAATAAAACAAATTTGAATATCCTAATTAGGGCTACGAAAGTTTCACTTGAGTTTCCTTATGTTTACGTGAATTACCCCTAAGAGGCAACATTTCTATCTTATTTACATGTTCGTCCGATTCCATGCCTTTCTAATGCGGAAGATAACACGTCAATTGTTTAAATTGTTCTGTCTTTATGAATGCATGTCCTAAGTGACAGTTATATTCTTGTGTAACAAGTCGCATTAATGTGCACATATCAGCTGTGTTCTATGCGTGCTATCCGGCCTGCCCACTCATGAATTCAGCATTTCCGGTTTGCTCTCTGCGCGCAAGCGACATGTTGATTTTGTTCATGCAGTGATGTCTGCCAGATGCGTGCTGTACTACTTGGTTCTGAACTTAAGAACCCAATTACCTCTTCGTTTGACTGGCCGTAGTAGGGCTGCTTGCCGATGCTGTATATCTCCCACAGGACTACGCCATATGACCACACGTCGGATTCCAGGGTAAATCGCCCATACATGACACTTTCGGGCGACATCCATCTGACAGGTAGCAGCCGAGAACCGCCGATCTAAACACAAACCACTCACTGTAACGCTGCAGTTGCTGAGCAGCATACTTAACTTGTATCAAGAAGAGCAGCGGCCTGTGTAGTATTTCGAGATCCTTTGAAGAATCCTTAAATATTTGATTACATGGATTGACAAATCAGAGCTTCACAGTTATTACTATCTGCAAACAGATACTAATGAGATGTCTGGGCATCTTGCCGCCAGCTGCGGAGGTGAGAACGCATTAGTTGGAACACTTTGCAGACCTCTGCTTAGCTCAGACTATAATTACTTACTTACTCATGGAGTTGAGCCCTTCTGGTGGAGCCGCCAATTCTGCAGCTACTCAAGAATTTCCCAGCATTTTATGGAACCCGAAGGTTCATCACCGTGTTCACAAGAGCCCTCCACTGGTCCCTATCCTGAGCTAGATCAATCCAATCCATACCATCCCATCCTATCTCTCTAAGATCCATTTTAATATTCTCCACCCACCTACGCCTTGGTCTTCCCAGTGGTCTCTTCCCTTCTGGCTTTCCCACCAATATCCTATACACATTCCTCGTCTCCCCCATTCGTGCTACATGCCCTGCCCACCTCATCCTCCTTGACTTCATGATTCTAATTATACTTGGAGAAGAGTACACGTTATGAAGCTCCACATTATGCAGTTTTCTCCAACCTCCTGTCACTTCATCTATCTTCGGTCCAAATATTCTCCTCAAGGCCCTGTTCTCAAACACCCTCAGTCTGTGTTCCTCTCTTAATGTCAGAGACCAAGTTTCACACCCATACTGAAACAGATGTTACAAAAACTGAATATTAGAGTGTGGACTGGATTTATCTGGCACAGGAACCATAGCGGTCTCTTCCGAGCACGGCAATGAACCTCGGGCTCCATGATGGCGCGAAATTCGTAGTCCAGCTTAGCGGCTATGGCTTCTTAAGGTACAATAAAATGTGCCCAGTGAACTTGATGAAAGGAAGTAGGATTCGGTCGGGAAGGTTTATTTGCCGCAAGAATAAGGAGGCTCACCTTGTAGTAGTCGCATGTGTATACGTCACGGCTCATGCCGAAGTCAGCGATTTTCACAGTGAGTCCTGCTCCCACGAGGCAGTTGCGACAAGCCAGGTCGCGGTGCACGAAGCGCTGTCCTGCCAGGTACTGCATCCCCGCGGAGATTTGCAGGGCTACTGACAACAGCATGTCCTGTAGCACACACGCACACAAGCGTATCGAGTTATAGGCAGAATAGTAGCAAATCTGACATGAAGGAGGATATACTCGTATCACTACCAATATTTGGATCAGGTTATTTCTTATGCAAGCTTCCTGTTTCAAAATCTGCGGTTGGTTTAATTTCATTATGTTTTCACAATTATGATAGCCTACAGATATAAGTACTAGAAAAACTTTCCAACCTATAAATGGAGAAAAATAAGGGCATATAATTAAAGAGTGCTTAACGAAAAGAAAAGAAATCAAAGCTATTTTTCGTTAATACTATTTTAGCATAAAAACAATTAATTGTATTTACAACAGTGCATACATGTATAAAAACACAATTCTAATATGTTTTGTAGGATTTATGGTTTCTTGCTTGGCTTATTCCTCATAGCTGAAATGGAGGAAATATTTTCCTCTGAACCGTCGGTTAATTTTCTACGAACTTCTCGGCGATATATCGCAGAAGACAGAACTCTTATTAATCTTACGTCACGGCGGGGATGTACAGGTTTCTGTCCACAAAGATGGAGACCTTCAATCGTAAATTTAACCGGAATACTTTCAGCAGTTTCGGAGAAGAAATACGCGAACGAGCAAATCGTTGGATACGATTTCTATGTTATGACTTCATTTGAAAGGTTTTCCTTCATCAAGACATTTACTTTGTTTAGGAAGATATTGACATACCTTTGTCAGCGGCGCCAGCCCACGGATGGGCTTCCAGAACTGTCGGCTATTTCTCCGCAGAACTTCGGCCAGGTCACCGTACGGCATGAACTCGAACACCATCCAGGGGCTGTTGCCCGCGTCTGTAATGAGAACATGACACTCGAACAATTACTGCTACGAATGATAGAGCACTGTATTTAGCTCATATTATTCAGAAGAATGTAACATATAACATAGGCCTACACCCGTCATAGGGCGGTTAGTCGCCGGCTTCCCACTGCGGCGACCCAGGTCAGGTCATGTGGGATTTGTGGCGGACAAAGTGGAACTGGGACAAGTTTTCTCTGAGTACTTCCGTTTCCACTGTCAATTCTCATTCCACCGACTGCTCCACACTCGTCATATATCGTCCAGGGCTGGTACAATAGGCCAGATAGTGGCCGCCATACCAAGTGGACTCAGTGTCACGCCACCCTAAGGAACTAAAAAAAAGAACTGCACCAGTCATGAACCCACCTGAGCACATCTGTACTGTCTCGTGGGCATACACACACTGCTTCCCTAAACACACAACATTGAGTGCAACTTGATAGACTCGATAAATGGAGAACTTCGAGTTACGGCGTTTTCATGTAATTTTGAAGAAATGTCACCACCAAGGTGATAAGTCAGACTTCTTTACTGGATATATTGTGCTGATAAAATCAAGAAGAAAGAGATGGGCGAGAAATGTAGCACGTCTGGGGAGATCAGAAATGCATGAAACATTTTTGTCGAAGAACACGAAGTAAAGATCTAGGCATAAATTATAGGGTTAGGGGTGTAAACCTGTGAACTCGTTTAAATTTGCCTGCGGATGGGGGTTAGAATCAGGCACTTTTGATAGTGGTTAATTACCATAAGAGTCCTATCTTCCAGGATGTGACGCCATGTATTCTTACAGAAGTTTACTGGCTTTTTGAAGGAACGTGCTGCCTCCATCTGCAGGGCGGAAATGCAGCTGATGGAGGAAGCATCTTTCCTTGATCGGTTTATTCTTCAACCCAGAAATTGTAGGCAGTCTGTTCTCCCGAAACATTGCTAAAATTATTCCAGAATATATGATGTCACATCCTAGAAAATAATACTATTCATAGTGACCGCCGCGAAAGCCGTAAACATCGCTGCAAGGGAGCTTCTTGTTCCATAAATGGCAAGTAATTTCTTGCTAGTTGAACCACTATCAGTTTTCCGGGAATAACTCTGCACCGTGCAGTTAATACAGTATATCCTCTTACAGAGTTGTGGAGAAGAATGAAGTTGCGTGGGGCGAAACCTAAAAACAACGCCAGAATTACAAAAATATGTAAGGAATGTGTTAACTGAATGTGGCTCGCTTTCTGAACTTTCTCTGTTAACAGACGCCTCCATATGAATTACATCTCTTTGTTAGCTCCCTACGCGACTGAAACAGCATGTTCCCTACCAGTTCCCAGTGGCCCGATGGTCTGTTTATTCTGCTAACCTCTCAGCCTTAACGTATGAATACTGCAAAGTATGGCACGAACTCTGTCTTCCTGCAGACGCTGGCTTCTCGATAAGCATTGCTCTGGAAGGTCTTATACAGAGAGGAATGGTAGTTTCTAACCAATTCAGTGTGTAGTGGCTGGATATTTCGTAAAATTATAATATTCTTAGTGAAGCGTGGATAAGATGAACAGGGCTTGTGGCACGAATGGGGGAGACAAGAAATGCGCATACAATTTTAGTCGAGAAGCCTGAAGTAAAAAACTATTGAGAGATTTAACCATAGATGGCAGAATACTATTAAAATGTATCTTAAAGAAACAGGATGTCAGGATGTGGACTAGATTCATCTTGAGACACAGGCGTACTTGTATACTCGCATTTCTCTGGGTAGGTGAGAGGCACACTCTCCTGTGGCAGAACGCAGTGGTCGTGCAGACTGGCTGTAGAGGAGGCCAAGGCTCACCAAGGGCTGTAGTACCGAGTGGTAGATAGGCAGGTAGGTAGGTATGGTGGGTAGGTAGGAGGCTGAGGAACAGAAAACAATCGAATTCACCGAAGAACATCAATACGTTTAAAATTGTTTAATTTAACGTATTGAGTGTGTAACAGATTCAGAAGTAGTTAGAAAGAGGAGCGTAGCAATGACGTACAGTCTGCATATGTCCGTCAGAGGCAGCACACGCAGTAGCATTAAAAATGTACTCCATAAACATTTATTCCATTAAATATTTCGGTTTTAGAAACACATCAACAAGTGGATGATCAATATCATAAAACGGTTGCAGCGATTGCGACTGTCCGCAGAGAATTCAGAGACATGGGCTGGTGTTGGATTAATCGCGAAATTCACAATGTCAGAAAATGCAGATGATAAATAAATAGGAAATGCGGAGCTATCAGATGATTTAAACAGATTAAAATGCTCCGTAAAAAAAAGTAAAGCCATCCCTGTAACAGGCCGCGAAGGCCCATACGGTTGTGAGACGTTGAGGTTCCCACATTATCTAGACAATCGGCTCAAAGATGGCGGTAAGGTTGTCATCCCTACGCGCCGGCCGCGCTTTACTCCCCAGGAAAAGTATTGAATTAATTCCTGGTACTCATTTCTGTTAGAGGCTGAGCCGATCCCAGGGCCATAGTGCGGCTGGAAGGATTAGGTCAACTGAAAAAATCCAATGACCTCATCGGGACTTGAACCCGCGACCTTCCGGCTTGTAGCACAGTGCCTCAACCAACTAGCTACCGCGTGCCCCCCCCACAAATGCTCCGTATATTCCGTATGTAGATCTTGCAAGCGAAGTATACCGACCGAGCGACCACCGCTTATCGGCGAAGTTAGTGCCCAGTTTAGCGGATAGAGGGTGTCGCGTGATCAGCGCAACGGATTCCCACAGCAGTTAATCTCGGGTTTCTAGACCGGAAATCTACAGATTATACCAGAAAAGTGTTGATAGGGGAAATTCAACGCTTTCACTCTGAACTGGCGCTGCAAAGTTGGAATCAACTGAACCATGTATTGACAAATCAAGAAAGCGGAGCAAGAGGACTGTTATACTGTTAGAGACACGACGTACAATAGTAGCCTCCTACATGTAATACATTGGGTCTGTGCATGACGCTTACAGGAAAACGCAGATAATTCCTCAGATGGGTCTGCGGTAGCCCTGTCGGTCTCTTTCTCTAATGGGAAATTAATCTGAGGGCTTAGAGAAGAACATGCTCACATTAAACCAGGAAAATTATATGAGAGAGACTTGATCATTTTTAATAATTAAAAAGGAGTAAGAAATTTTTTAAATAACTATGTAAAAACTGGTTTGTTTACAGCTGTCTGCCATGTTGAAATTCGTACTTTTTTTCGGTAGAATTGACGTTTAACTTAATTTCTTACAGCACATGTAATATTATATACAAAACAATACCAGTGAAAAGTAGTAACATACTTAGACCTGTGGGCTCTTTCGTGGGCGGTGCTCCTTGCTGATGCACACAGAAGGTAAAAGCGTTTTTAAGGTTTTCTGGAAAGTACAATTACTTACTCGAAACCCTCTTGTAAGAAACAATATGATTTATTTATTCTGTGTGTTACATATTAGTGAAAAACTTATGTGAGATTTGAGGTTTTCACGGCGGTGACTATGAAGGATGCCGTCTTCTGGGATGTACCGCCGTGTAGATATTTTGTTAACCGATGTTTCGGAGGAAAATAATGGCCTCCATCTTCAGTCTACAGACACCTACTCACGCTGGTTCATCGCTCGCGGATTTTTTACAGCCTGAAGATTGGGGCAATATTTTTCCCCCGAAACGTCGGTTAGCAAAATACCTACACTACACCACATCCCAGAAGACGGCATTCTTCTTAGAGAAATACTTCTTTTTAAACCTTATTTTAAAGTTCCTGTACACTGCAGTACATATTTCCATCGATATTGGTCATCATCAGGGGTTCAAAATTTTGGTGATAACTGCCGCGTTTCCGTTTCGAAGTTCTGGTACTTGTATTCGGCGTGTAGTCCCATCCACGTGTTCATGTATCTGTATTAATGTCAAACATTAGTGTATATTGTATATAGTGTGTGTTAATGTTCAGAATGATTACTTGTTTATGTACTTTTCTTATTGCTAGTGGGGTGGGACTAAGTCCCTTGTACTGCGGCCACTTCTGGCGTATTGTACCAGTCCCAGATGATAGGTGAGGGTGATTGTGGAGCAATTGCTAGAATGAAGATTGGCAGGGGAAACCGAAGTACTAGGAGAGAACCTGCATCAGTGCCACTTGTCCACCACAAATCCCACTTGACCAGACCCAGGATCGAACCCGGGCCACCGCGGTGGGAAGCCAGCGACTAGCCGCTTGAGCTATGGCGCGGCCGTTTATATACTTACTCCATGGTGCTGGGTGTCTGTTCTTCCCGTGTTGTGCGTCTAGACTACACGTGTTTGCTAAGCTGGATTGAGTCTGCCTTTTCATTGTGTATGCATGTTGTTATCTGGTGTTTAATTCTTGCAATTCGGATATTGGGTTATAGACATTAATATATATATATATATGGTATTTCTCAAGTGTATTCAAAGCTTTCCCCGTTTCCTCTAATTTCATAATTGTCATTGTATCAGTTATATCCCCGTTTGCACGTCCCGTACTTGATATGTGATTCGAATCTCCCGAGTTGCTCTTATTCCTAATTGCTTGTATGTGCTCTTTATACTGTATCTGGTGTAGAATGTTCGTCCTGTGTGCCCTGTGTATTTTAGTGGGAAATCCATACTTTTAATTTAGTATACGCCATTTTCTCATATCTCTCTCTTTGTGGATGTGGTTTTACCATTTTTTGTATTGTATTTTTCGTTCGAAATGCTATTCTCGTTTGCATCTCTTTAAATAGTCTCTTTGTTTCTAGAATATATTACGCGCTCTTAAGTTCTATTTCTGAAGTCTAATTCAATAAATGCTCGTAAAAGTTCATGTAATTCAACACTATTGGGTTTTATATGAATGTGAAACTTTGTCTCACTTTGTGAGGGATGACTAGAATCTTAAGGCGCGTCCATATTACTCGTGCTCGTGCTTGTGCTCGTGTGACTCGCTGTGCTCGCGAGTAATTTGGACGATATGACAAGTCACGAGACAAGCAAATTTTAAATTTTTAATTTAAAAACTATAGCCAATAAATTAAAATACGACTACAGCCTATAAACACTACGAGTAAATATACGGATCCTCACGCGCCGAAGCCTGGCGAGCAACTGAAGTAGTGTGGACGAAGATTTACGAGCACAAGTAAAAGCCAGACCAGTCCCCCGACGAGCACGAGTAATGTGGACGCGCCTTAAGGGTGCCTGAGAACGAAGTGATGAGAAGGACATTTGGACCCACTGCAGTTGGAAACACAGAGCAACGGAAAAATTAGACATTAAATAAATTCAAAATTGATATACTAAACCTAAATTTGTAAAAATAAATATTGGAGAAGGGAAGATAAGATTTGCAGAAACTCTAACAATTACTATGAAATAAGAAATGTTTGAAAAAAATGACTATGAAACTTCAGAATATACTTTGGATATGGTGGAGTACATTAAAGAATAATATAAACGTGAATCTTAGAGAAATATATTATGAAGATACCGTGTGGATTCAATTGTTTTGTCTCTTGTCTGACGGAGAACTATTAAGAATGTCAGTTTCTGTAAGAACAGAACATTTTCCAATGACATGAACCTGGACATAGAAAGCCCTGTTTCGTATAGGTAAACCTTGAAGCGAGGACGTACATCATGAAGTTAGACTTTCAGTTGTTTCTGCAAGGCAGTATGCTCGTATTAAATTAGATGCTTGAACAAAGCCCTTATCTACGAAATTATATGCTTCGGTTAGGCTCTGTGTCATGAACTTAGAAGTTTTAATAACGCCCTGTATCCGAAGTTATATGTTTCAACCAGGCCCCTTACCGTGAAGTTGGGTGATTCGGTAGTGCCCCGTGTCATGAAGTTGGTTGTCCCACCAAGGCCGTGTGCGGAGTAGCTGGTTGGTTCTACAAGCCACGCAACAAACAGACAAGCAAGTCTTACCTCTGAGGACAACGCCTATGAGGGAGAGTATGTTGCTGTGGCGGAAGGCACTCATGATGTCCACCTCTCTCATAAAATCCTCTTCGGCCTCTCGGGTCGCCGTCTCTTTCAACACTTTGACAGCCACGATCTCTGGCTGCTGGCCGTCCTCTCTTCTCAGTTCACCTGTGTCAGAAATGTTGTTCTGTATCGCCTTTTGTGAGAGATGGTTGGGTATCTAGCACCGAAGAAGAAGAAGAAGAAGAAGAAGAACAGGATGTATATAGTATATGGACTTCGAGATGGAAAGGATCAAGGCAAATGAGATTTTTACCAAACTTAAGACACTGTACCGTCATTTGCCTTGAGAATTTTGGGAAAACCAGAAAATGCGTTGTTAATAATCGACTCGAACCTAGTACTTTCCAAACAGTAGTCAACTTGTGTACTCCATGTGTATGTGTGTCCGTGATTGCGAACTAGAAACTGCGGTTTATGTCATGAAGCGGTAATTTTGAACCATTAGAAATTGGGTGGAGATGACAAAGGTACATATAGCATTTTCTCTAAAAATCTCGAAAAAAAAAACAAATTGAGGAATGCGCGGGCATAAACTAAAGTACAATATTTTAATTGATTTTACAGAGATAGTGTTTCATAATCTGGATTGGATTTATTTGGCTAAGAATAATGTCCATTGGTGGGTTCTTGTGAACACGAAAATTAAATATCAGGTTTCATTTCTTGATTGGTTGGACGACTATCGACTTCGCGAGTCATTTGTGTTCCATGTAGTTAGTTAGCTTGTTATTTAGAGGTTAGAAGATCTTTAGCCTGCTCATGAGTCAAATCACAAAGATACAAGATATTTTCCAAGTTCTGAAACACACGTTTCCTTGTACCATATACGTGGATACCGGAATATTGCAAGTGTTGTCATATTCGTATGCTGTAATATTACACATAAAAATAGTATATATAAGAATATTTATAACTTTAAGTACATAAATTTCACATGTTTCTTACGATGAAGAGGAATGTTTAGCATTTATATTTTTAGTTGGGAGCACAAGGAGTGGGAAATGAAGTCAAATGCTCATGTGCTTCTTTACAGAGGAGCTGTTCTTTCAGAAGTTGTTACTTCATACATTAAGACATATTCAGGTCATCGCCTGTTAAAGTTTTAGACAATTATGCAGACATGTAAAGAAACCTTCCGATTTCGGCAAGGCCTTGTGTCGTGAAACTAATTGGTTCAAGAAGACCTTCTACCTTGATTTCAATTAATGCAACAATGTCAGTTCAACAAAAAATATGTCATGGAAGTGGTGCAACCAAGTGAAGTGCCCTGAAGTTGGTTGGTTCAAGAAGGCCCTGTGCCCTGAAGATAGGATTGGTACAGCTGGGCCATGCAACATAAAACTGCTTGCTTTGGCAAGGCCATGTTTTTTTTTTCGTTGGCACTACAGCCCCAGTGGGCCTAGGCCTACCTCCATGAACTCCGTTCACTTCGGTTTTTCTAGATCTTACACATTCGGTAGGACTCCTTGGGCGGGTGATCAGCTCGTCGCAAGGCCTCTACCTGTACACAAACACAGCAAAACGCACACACACAGAAACTAAACATCCATGCCCTGAGTGCGATTCGAACCTACGATCCCGGTTTCCAAGCGAGCGAGGACAGTACATGCCTCAGACCGCTCGGCTACCGTGACCGGCGGCAAGGCCATGTACTATGAACATACTGTAGAAGTGATTTAGAATATCCCTGTGTCATCAAGTTAGGGAAATGTGCACGTACATTTCAATGAGAGCACACTACTGCTGAATATGCACTATAAAGTAAGGATGGATCGGCAACTGAAGGTTACTCACATCCGGAGTATAAAGCAAGAAGGCGAGGATATGAAATATACATGAACATTGCCGTCCACTAATGGCTCCATGAAGCGCTGAGTAGCACGAGTAGGGCTAGTCAACGAAACGTCTTTCGGAACCTGAAGCTAGCAACAATATGAGTAGCGTCGTTCGTGTTACAGTATTCTCTCTCCGAGACTAATATTTCAATACCGAAATTAATTAGTCAGCAATAATTGATTTCGCTTTTGGATTTCAGAAGTTAGAAGAAAACAAGCAACTTCTGGTGGGAAATGCTCTGTACTCATTCGGCGTACTTAAAAGACATTCAGCCTTTAGACTAGAGCAAACTAACAGAATTAAATGTATCACAGTTCCTTAAACTGAATTAATGAATGGGTGAATTTTTAATGAAATGCTCTTTCTAAATGTTTGAAACTTAACGAGGTACAAACACAAGCAGAACATCGCGTGACTTGGCTCGGAGAATGGAAGCAAATGGGGTTTAGAAGCTGAGGGAGCAGGATAAACATTGACTATTGCTATGTCCGTTGTCATTGATTGAAATGCACAAACTTTGTCTACGAAATATTCCAGTGCTCATCCGTGTTTTTCATGATTTGTATGCTTTTAACTTTGATTTAAAGTATGTAAAATATAACCCAATATTAGACATCTTCAAATACTTCTTTCATCTTGAACTAATGCACTTTCAAAACAAAGATATAATCGATAGGAAGGGGTCACTGAAATGAAAGGAAGCAGCGGTGTTCCTCTATTTTTATTCCCATTAGTTATACGTTGGGAAGAGAGCAGAGACGCAGTGGCTTATTTGAACCATTGTCAGGGAAGTGGCTTGTTTACTTACACTCCGTTGAGAATAGCTCGGGGCTGTGCTGCGCGCCATGGTGCTGTACAGAATCTGCCGCACGGATGTTGAGCTTCAGGCTTGTCCCATCATGCAAATTGCATTCCTGATCACTAATATCTCTTGCTTCATTTCTTCTTTATTTACTTCCTTTCATCGTAAGCATATTTCCTACTTCCATTCTTCCTTCGTCACTTTTTGATATCTCATTCTTTCATTTCTTTGATTCTTCTTCAATTCTTTCTTTCTTCCTTATTTCTCATTATCTTTTATTTCTACTTTTTTGCATTTCTATTTCTTCTTTTCTTTCCAAAAGTCCCTCTTTCTCGTTTCATTTTCTTTTCACCGTATCTTTTTATCTATTTTTTCTTTATTCTCTCCTTTCCTTTTCAATGTTGTATTTATTGTTTTCGCCGTTATTTCTTTCGCTCTTTTCTTCGTTCTTGCAAGTCTTTGTTTCTAAGGCGCGGTGAGACTATTTTGCCAGCAGGTAAACTATTGCACCAGGGCCGGATATAGACGGGAGAACTGGAGAAATTGATGTAATGAGAATTGTCAGAGGAAACTGCAGTACACGGAGAAAACCAGTTCAGTTTGTCCACTGTAAATGCCACATTAACTGACTTGGCCTTTAACCCGGACCGCTGCCACGAGAAGGCGGAAACTAACCGGCTATGTTATAGCCCCTTTTGCTTCTTAGTTTATTTAACTACGCCGTATGAAATCTGAGAAATTTTGTAGAATCGTAGATGGGCTTTGGGCTGATTGTGGGCCGTGTGACGAGGAAGTTTCAGGAGAACCTAACTAAGGGACCACCCCAAAATCTCTTATCTGCAATTGAGAAGTGTCACAAAAAGAATAAAGAAACGCCCGTCAAGATAATTGGGCTGTTGGCCAAGATTCTAACGGGGTAATTTTGAACAGGAATTTCTTTCCGTTATACAGGAATGTTTGGTGATTGAAGAGGTTGGCGTACTTTTAAGAGAGTAAGTTAATTTCTTGAAAATCTACAGTTTCACGAAGATTACTGTCTTTCGGCACGTGTCCCGTATAATTTGTTAAATAGAGTTTGATGGATAGGTACCTGTCTACCAACCTGCACATCGTAACTGCTCAGGAAACACGAATCTTCATAGTCTCTACTGTGAGAACCCCAAACCTCACTGTGCCATTTGAACTCTACATCTTCATCTGGAACACCTTGCTCAAATTGGGAACATTAATTCCGAATTTACAGCAAAATATCTAATTCAAGGAAATAATGCTTTTATGGTAATATGTAGGCCTATTCCATTTCCATACTATTATTTTTCTTATTGCTAGTGGGGTGGGACTAAGTCCCTTGTACTGCGGCCACTTCTGGCCTATTGTACCAGCCCCAGATTATAGATGAGGGTGAGTGTGGAGCAATTGGTGGAATGAAGATTGGCAGGGGAAACCGAAGTACTCGGAGAAAACCTGCCCCAGCACCAATTTGTCCACCACAAATCCCACTTGACCAGACCCGGGATCGAACCCGGCCCGCCGCGATGTGAATCCAACATTTCCATACTTAACTCCATGGAAGTACTGAAAAGTTAATAATCACTCAGATGGTCGAAACGTCCCATGCCGTCTATGGAACCAAAGTATTCAGTACCGCGTTCAGAAGCTTTCATCCCACCCTCAGCCAGACAAGTCTAGTCAGCGCTCCCACATTCTAGTTCTGCTACATTTGTTGCGCTTTCTCATTTCTTCTGTCCCTCGCATCTCATCCACCTTGAGCTGATCATTATAACAGTATTTGGTGAGAAGTGCAAAGAATGGAGTATTTCCGCAGCCCTGTTCGCTTCCTCCTTCTTAAATCCAAATATTTCGCTCAGAAATCTGCTTCCACGCATTCTGAACACAGTTCGGCTTTTGTTTCATTTCAGCACAGGGGTTTGGATTTCGCTTACGAGCAGGTGGTGATAACAAGTTTGCTGACCGAGGAAAGTGTTTGAAAGTGGCTAAAAGCCTCGTCGCCCGTCCGCCTGACAGGACATTACATACACTCAGAATTCTGAATAGGTTAGTCCAGCGGAGAGCTGGCTATCTTCTGGTCTTATCGTTATTTTCCTCAGTCCCTAAAGATGAATGCCTGAATAGCCGTGTAAAGAGACCATCACTGGTTCTTTCCCGTAGTCGCTGCGCTGACACTGGACTTTCCTTCACGCACCTGAATCTCGTTTTTTTTTTCTTTCTGCTCTCAAATTTATTTCATAAATTTCCAAAATGGAGAGACATTTTGATCTCTGCTTGATTTCAATTAAAAATTTGTTGTTTCGCTGACAAGTTTATATACAGTGTATGTATACTATATAGTATACTATACTATATATAGGATATCGAGCGTGACTCGCTTTAACGACCGTTGTCGCCATAACATCGTAAAACAACTGAATTTACGTCTTGTGCAATAGTAAGAGGATATCGACCCAAA